TGTGCGGACAAATATTTTAGACTTATTTTGGTGTAGACAGCTCTCGTTTAATTATTTTACACCATTACAAGTTGTTAAATTGAGAGAATAAATGTAGTGGACAAATATTTTAGACTTATTTTGGTGTAGACAGCTCTCGTTTAATTATTTTACACCATTACAAGTTGTTAAATTGAGAGAATAAAGTGTGCGGACAAATATTTTAGACTTATTTTGGTGTAGACAGCTCTCGTTTGATTATTTTACACCATTACAAGTTAGGTTTAATTAACTAGCCAAGTCAATTGTATAAAAAAAATACATTATATACTGCATTAGAACGTTCAGTCAAATCCTTTTCTAATTTAAAAACGTATGGTACGGCAAGTTACAAACCATTTGTAAGCACTCCACGCATACCAGTATTATCGCATTAATATTTTTTACCGATAACGAGAATTAGGTAACTATTTTGGGAAGAAATATTCGATAACATGTTATGGGAATGTCAATTCCTCTGTTGTAGACTTCAGGTTTCAAAATTAAGCAATTCTATCATGACTCGGTGACACATTTGAAGCAGGATGTGCTTAATATTTTCAAAATATCTAACATCAATTCATATTTATCATTTATGTCATATATCTTACTGAGTTGACTGTATGGTGTTTATACTTGTCAGTTGTTTTGCTTCTTTTGTTAAGTGATTATTAAAAGTCGTTTGTTTCGTGTTCTTGAACTTACATTTTCTGTGGGGTATGTTATTTCCGCATTTATATCTTTGAAATCCTTACTGATAGAAACACCGAACAACTGTCTTCGCAATAAAAGGTTTTAAATAAATTGGAGGTTGTAATTAAAATTCGTTCGTAGCAAGATGGCACATAAACACAATTATACTGATCACCCTCATTGTAAAGCCTGGCACATATAAAGCGTGCTAAGTCCGATTATACACATCAGAAACTCACCGACCAAGACACACCTTAGGCTATGTTGCACCAAATGATAACAGTTTCCACAGTTATACTATGAATTATTGTATTGCGGTAAATATGCAAATGATAGCCAGTTGTTGTTATTGAAACCACAATTACTACTGTAAAATGAAAATTACATTCAATCAACTATAGTAAATATAAAATAAAAAGATTAAAAAAAGATATCATAATGCTTGAGTACTTCCAGTGAAACCACAATACGATTATGAATATATAGTATGGATAATTACAGATAAAAATCATTTGTAAACTCGTCACATATATATCTGCACAATCGCATCAATATATTTACCGATAATAGGAATTTAGGTAACTACTTTGGAATTAAAACATGTGATAACCGTTATGTGCTGACAATGTTAATTTAATTTATGGATACTTCTATGACTACATGTTGACAACTACCTCTCTTCTGAATTAAGAGTTTTAAATGAGTTGGGACATGTAACTATGATTTATTCATAGAAATGTTACACATAACGTAATAAAACTGATAACGCTACTAGTTGGGAAGCCGGATAAGTACGCTTCGATTGTACACACCAAAAACTCGCCTGACAAAACACACATAGGTTATTTCGAAAAAAAAATAATAAAAAGCTCTCCACAATTAATTATATTACAAAACACTTATACAGCAAATCATAACCTCTCGTTTGAAAATTTGAATCCACATTTATTCAATCCAAAATGAGTGAGTGTGATGATTATTTGTAAAGATACTGAAAGTATTCTTATTGCGTGTTCCATATTAATATTCTTTCCCGAAGGACAGATATATGTCACAGGTGTGCAATATTTCGACAAAAGTGTCACTTTTTGAGACATTTACAAACTTCTAGCGAGTAACATTATCATTATATAGGCCCATCAAACGAAAAAAAAGGTGGATTCTAAATCTGGAAATTACTTTTCCAATGTGGGAATCAACCAGTTTGTTTGAAAGCAGTTCGACGACAATTACTAAACAGAAGCAACCAATACAAGAGGAAGCAACAACAACGTTTATTACATAAATACAACAAGTCTTCTAATAAATTATACTATACACAAAATATATAGGTAAAAATGACCTTCATTAAGTGGCGGGAGAACTTAATCTTCATTGCGACTGGTTCAATAATAGCACTAATGACTAATCTAAATTAACGAGTACTGATTAGTTAATTGGACGCCTTGTCGTATCTCAAATTGACATCGAGCTCGGTAGATCAATAAATATTGTGTTACATATCTATGATCGCTCACTGTGTACATTAATCTAGTATGCACAGTTCAAAAGCACACATGATTAACCAAGCAAAGTTCATAAGATTCAAACCATTGTAAGTATGTCATTTCATACTATTTCTAGTCATTAATTGCCAGTCACTAACATTTTCTAACCTGTATTTAGAATTACTACCATTTTAGTCAATACAATTACATGTAATGTTCGTGTCATTAAAATGATCTTGATTAATGTAATGCAATTTCATCAATATAATATTCGTAGCCTTTAACTAGACCGTGTACGTTATCTGGTAAATTACGTAATCAATAAGCCACGACTAGCTCACTTTTTTTCGATTAATATTTTGGATAAAAACCTCAGACACTAAAATACTAGTAATCTACGTATATATTTCTGCGTAAATAAGAATGTTTATTGATATGTTTATTTTTACCAGTCGAAAAATACACACAATGCTGTCTTGAAGAACAGTTTTGAGTGAAGTTAGTCCGGTTCTTGAGAGTAAATCATAATGTCAAGCTGTTAAATTAGAGCGTAGTTTATAGCAATATAGCATACTGCATTAATGTCTATAGTGATTCCTGAAATAGAACAAAAACAATAAATAGACTATGAATGAACATTTGTGTACACTTTAATATTAACGCACATATATTTATTCTCTTTCGTTGCTCAATCACGGTAGCATGACACGTTTAGAGTCACAACTGTTAGGTAATTGATGCAACCATGACATTTTGAAAAATAGACAAACGATATACGTATAGATTCGATCACACTTGACTTTTCTGCTAGTAAATGGCTAATACATATTTTAAACTCACCTTTGTTTCCTTTGATCGGGGTATTTCGTAAACTGGTTCAGCTTCTCTCGTCATTGGTGAAAGTGCTGTGTAATTACTGTCTTCTGCATTAGACTGCACATAGGAGGTCATTGACATACATTTATACTAGTGGATGTTCACAATTAATTGCCACAATCTATATAATTGACCATGATAGGTGATAATGTAGAGAAAGTTATTAATTAATGTAAGTATAATTGTGTATACTCACCTTATATGGAATTGGCAATGGCGTTTCATATGTGTGTGTCTTATCCCCTATCACGTTAGAGAGTGCTGTACACTCCCGGGTACTATCTGTTGTCTGGGAAATTGAGAACCAAATTTATTTAAACAAAAAAATGTATATTGTGTTATTTCATGATATACAATATAGTTGATAAATGCACAATTATAAGTATGTAAAGTTTTAACACGTTTTACAATCTTGGTCATTACCTTTGTTATTCAGTTTATGCAAGACAAATGCAATAGCGCTAGCAGTTACAGCACCGATGACAAGAGAAACAATTACTCCTGCAATTACACCAGCACTGCTCGAAGAGCATTTAGGATCTGTGTTATAAAAAGGTACATAGTTGGCAAATGTTTTAACATCAGCAATTAATTAATTTTGTTTATTTGCTTATTATCATTTTTCTATTAATTCTTATTAAGCGAACTCAATATCGTAGCAATCACATGGATTTGCACCATTGAATGGAATATTAAACGTGGATGAATGGAATTACTGTCAAACTCGAAATATGTATTATATTGCATCTGACCATAAAGTAGGAAACATCCCAGACAAATATAAATGTGTTAAAACAATATTGATAACGATATTACGCAATGGTTAATACCTGTGTAAGGAACCATAACCTGTGCTTCGAATGTACGTTCATCGCATTTACCCATTTCTGTACAATATGTCATTCTATATTCAGCATACTCGTCATCTATTGTATACGCTAATGTATCTCTGTCAATACACGATTCAAGTACATCCCAGTTATGATCTGCCAATTGCTTTTCTATTTTCACACATTGGTATTTTGTGTCTTCGTGACGTGTCCAACTAATTATACCCGTATGATGATTTATAGTAAGTAGCGGCAGAGCTGCGGAAATAAACATTTGTAGTTAGTTATTTTCGGTATATGATGTTGATGTTGTTATGGAGACACATATTGTATTGTAACAGTACAGACTGTATGCTCACCACTTTCATTTCATTGTGAAAACTAAAATGAGATGTCATATTCTCCATTTTTTGTCCCGGCAACAGAATGATCACATGGCACAATTCGAATTCATTTCAAGTAATTAAAAAAAAACAGAATTTGTTCTTTAACTATCCGTATTTCGAAAGACCAAGCCGAGCGGTTTTGTATTGTCTCTGTGTGACACAGAAACATCTTAAATATATTAGGAGATTACGTAATTGCGTACACTTTGAAAAGTTGATGAGTGGCGAGTGGCCGTGAAGTACACAAGCAATAAGATCAAGAACATATAGCATTATACCTTTATGAAATGTTGCATATCGTCACAATTATACGTAGTTTCAAATGGAATGAGCGAGCGACACAACATATAACATATACTACCATGATATTGATAAAGGAATGTGTTTAAATACGTCAAAAATACACCGACTTACAGTAAGTGTTGAAGACATATATCCTAGACATAACTTTGAATTCATTGTCAGATTTCAACTTTACTCGGAATTCAAAGGTGGTAGACGGTTCTAAGTCATGAACTACAAAAGTTGTGTTTGTTGTCCCCCGTCCATTTGATGGCCAATGTAGAAACGATGCATTCAATTGTGAGCGGTATTCTATATAATATACATTAGGTTCTTTGCCCGAAACGCCATGGACGAACATCGGTATCAGATTAATTGTTAAGCTATCATAGGAGCGATCAATTAGATCAATATTTACTTGTGTCCTTGGTATGTCTGTCAAGCAAAAAGATGTACATGAAGATAAAATGAACAAATTTAATAGATCAATTTATCTTTCAATACATTTCATAGTTTCATTACATATGTATGGTGTTCAGACACTGAATATGCCGCATGGGACCACATCAGCTATCATTCCATACTAAATATTTCGCACATACTTTGTAGTATCATAATAAAGAAAAAAACTATCGTGGCATACAGCAGAGTAACGTAACAGGGGTCTGTTGCAAATAATTATACCACTCGTAACTAGATTGTGCCAGCCATAGGGTTGATATAACATGAATTTGAAGGGCGTTAGGAGTTAATAGGAAATAAGGACAATCACGCTGATAGCATTTTTGAAAAATAAGCCCATAAATTATGATACTTACTTGTTCCATTGAGTGTAATAAGATGGCTATCAGATTCTAATCTATTAACACTTGTACAGTTATACACACCATAGTCAGACTCTGGTAATACATTAAATATCCATAATGTACTACGTTTAATATTGTGATCTACGAATTCTATGATAAGTATTCTATCAGTGCTATTGTCGATTTCATATTCATTATTATTATACCATGTTATGTCAGCAATTGGCAAAGCATCAACTTCACACACAATAGTTGCAGTATCACCTTTACTGGCGCCTGATTTACTGATTTCTTTGTTGATTCGTGGAGAATCTGTTAGATGTACAAGTACCAGAAAACACCAATATAATACAGAAATTATACAATTCATAGTTTGAAGAATTGTTTTGTTTTTCAGAACATGTTACATAACAATTGACGCATATTCTATTTTAAAGATTTTAAAGAAAAGGACAATGTAAACAACATAATGATCTATAAATAGCTTTGCCACTGTATCAATTTTTCGTTTTCTAAATATTCAACTTTTCATCATTATTATGTAGTTCACATCTTGGTTTTTTTAGCAAAAGATAATGACTGTATGTTACATCATAACCGCAAATGTGACATGAAAAAAATGTTCGTGATTATACTCACAATACACAATTATGCTAGTAGTATCTGATGAAATGGATTCTGTATCATCATAGTATTTAACAGTAGTTGTACATATATAAGTACCAGCATCTGAAGGTTCAATATTATAGACCTGTAAAGTATCAGTCACTTCTGATAGTGTTATTATATTGCCTTGATTATCAGTACGATTCCAGGTATATTTAAATGGAGAAGGAACACCAAAATCTGTACAAATTAACTCCAAATCATAACCTTCATCTATAGTGTTGTCACCAAGTGTAATCTCTATGGTTACTGTGGATTTATCTGGAAAATAATTACACTCGCATTTAGACTCCTCTTACAAGATTAGAAAACATTTCATAATAAACTAAGAACAAAATGGTAGTTTCATCGTATGTGTAATGTA